ATTGTATTTGCACTTTTACCTAGTGTAGAGTGTTTTGTTGAAGTTGGATTCGCCCTCTTTTCAAGGGTTGAATGGTTTGTTTGTTAGATTCACGCTTTTTTTTCAAGTGTTGAATCATTTATTTCTTATTGGATTCACGTTTTTTAAGCGATGAATATTTTGTTTGGTTTCTGTTGTATTGTGCCCGGTAGTTCGGTGGTGTTGAGCCGATCACATTACACAGGTTTTTTATATATTCACACCGCCTTGTTGTGTTGAATATTTTGTTTGGTTTCTGTTGTATTGTGCCCGGTATTTCGTTGGAGTTGAGCCGATCACAATACACAGGTTTTTTATATATTCACACCGCCTTGTTGTGTTGAATATTTTGTTTGGTTTCTGTTGTATTGTGCCCGGTAGTTCGGTGGTGTAGAGCCGATCACAATACACAGGTTTTTTACATATTCTCACCGCCTTGTTGTGTAGAATATTTTGGTTTGACATTTGTTGTATTGTGCCCGGTAGTTCGGTGGTGTGGTGCCGATCACAATACACAGGTTTTTATATATGTATATTCGCACCGCCTTGTTGTGTCGAATATATAAACCTGGTTCGCATTTTTAGAAATGTGTTTTTCACTTTGCCAATATTAGGGTGAAGCATTGTTTATAACTCCATTAGAGTCGGTGACGAAGGTGTCCAACCGCACTCCTTGGATATTGATATCTTGTTAGATATTCAATTCCTAATGGATGTTGTTTTTGTGAAGTTTATTTTGTTGTGGTTTTATAACTCCATTAGAGTCGGTGACGAAGGTGTCCAACCGCACTCCTTGGATATTGATATCTTGTTAGATATTCAATTCCTAATGGTGGTTTGGTTTAGAGATTTGTTTTGAGAGTTTGTGTGATTTTGTTTGTAGAGTTTTTTGATTCCGTATTTAGTTTTTATAGTCCTCCTTTGGTGTTTGGATTTTGGTATTCTTGGAGTCTGTAGAGTTTTCGTGAGTTTTTGTAGAGTCAGTTTTGGAGTTTTAGTAGAGTTTTTGTAGAGTCAGTTTTGGAGTTTAGATGTTTTCAGATCTTTTTGTTTGTTGTATATTTTGTTTGAGTATTGACTTTTCGGCATAAAAGAAAGAGTTTTTTTGGGAAGCTATGTAATGTAACGGTGCATTTCGCACCATTACAGAAAATTGAATCATCGACGTGTTTTTTGGTTTGTCAGTCGAATTTTATGACGTTTCAGCGAGTGCCGATTGTCGATGAGGTGGACGAGAATAATAGTCGGTTATCGATTTGGTTTTTCTTGTTCTGGCAACATTTGGACGCGTTATAGTGAAAAGTCAAGAGAGCGTCACATTTGGATTTCGGCCCGGGTGAGATGAGTCAGGGCGAGAGATTGTAATTTTTTTGATTAGTAATCCATATTTATTTGTTGTAAACGAGGGCATATTTCATCTTTTAATGTTTGGCCATTCTCGTTAAAGACTCAAGTTGTTTGTTCGAATTGTTATTTTCATTGAAAAGGTAAGTCTTGTTAAGCCACGTGCTTCATACTTGGCTTATGGAGAATAGTTGTTCTAAATCTTTGTTTATTTGGTTACAGGAATTAATTATAATGCCGCTGCTTTGTTTGTGAAACGTTTTGGGACCCTGGTGAGTAAACTATTGTATCTTGCCAGATTTAGGATTCATCTTTTGAGATAGGCAAATAACCTATACTTTTCATTGTTACAGATGAATCAGGGTTCTAGTTATACCTTAATTTTTTAGTTTATATCTAATTCTTTAATTTATATCTAAATTTCTAGTTACCCCTTAGTTTACAATTTATACCCTGATTTTTAATTTACACCTAAATTTCTTGTTATACCTTATTTTCTTATTGGATTGTAATGTCATTGCGTTACATTTGGATACCGCCTCACTGCCGGCCTGACCCAAGGTTTTAGTTTGCTGTGGAGCACCTATAATGGTAGAAAAAGCTGTTTAGCTGCAGTCCATTATCAGGAACCTGGGAATACTACCCCGCCACTTCCACCACGTGGGAACCGGAGTGAGATTTATTAGCCTTAGTTTGCCTTCATTTCATTCGGACTGAGCCAAGGTCATTAGGTATGTTTTTTTATTAATTTGGTTGGCGTCGTGGCATCGGATACTGCAGGTCCCTAAGGGGTGTTATTTTTATTAAGGGAGTAGGTCGATGCTACAACTACCCTTAGATTCATTTCCTATTAAGTCTTTATGTGACTCTTTAAAACATATTTAATTTTAGTTTGTTTTATTCGTTTATTTGAAACAGATTGCATTAACAACAGTACTAATTTGAGTATAAGAATTACATATTGTAATTAGAACCTTAAGATACCATGTACTCTACAGACACTATGGGATAATAAACTGCCACTTGAAGTTAACATCTTTGTATTTAATAGCTGCCCCCCATCCTAGATTAAAAGTCTAGCGCTGACCGAGTTGTCCGAGGCATTTATTGTATTTGTTGTTGGTTGTCTGTGTTCATTTAGGTTGGGGCAACTGGCGCCCGAGTTTAATTGTTTGTTAGTATTCGTGGTGCCCCCAGTTAGTTTGTTTGTTTGTTTAGAACACAGATAAACCTTAACATTACACAAGTACAGTACAGTACAACACAAATATTGTTTTTTTAATTTTTTTAATATTACAATACACCAACAAATCAAGAATTTGACAGGGTTGGTTTAGTGGTTAGTGAACCTGCCTTCTAAGCCAGAGGTTGAGGGTTTGATTCTTACCGAACACAAATAAATGAGTGATGGGTGCAAAGAGAAGGAAAACTAAAACCAAACCCTATACCAACCTGTCTGGCCAGCATGGTATAGTAGGCCAAAACCTCCTTTCTAAGGAGAGGCCTAAGTCCAGCAGTGGACTGTTATAGGCTGGTGATGATGATGATGGGTACAATCATTTGCGTCCATGTATATTGTATCTATTTAAAAATAAATAAGTATGTTTATCAGTAGTCTAATCACCATAGTAAAAGCCAAGCTTAGTTTGGGATTAGATGCATATGTGTGAGATGAGTTAGGCGATTATTATTATAGGAATTATTTTCTAACCTATAGCTGCCCTTACCAATCATATGTGAGGAAATAAATCCCTGATTGTGAAATACTAACATAGCACAAAGAATAATGTTAAATATGATATTTAACAAAAAAATGTCCCATTGGTATTATACCATAATACTTGCTGATAGCAAGTAACTACTTTAATCTATGTGACTGTTCAATATTCTTTTATGTCATGTTATATTATTAAGTCTCCCTAAACAGAATTGTATAGTGCTCAGACTGAGCTGGTTTAGAAACAGATCAACACATATTTAATTTGTTACCTTTTTTACTATTCTAATATGTGTCCAATACAGTATAGCGTACTTTAAAAACAAGGGAAAATCGAGGTGTACTATGGCTGTTTAAAGCGAGAGTTAGCACCAAAATATGTAAGTAGAGTTGATGCCATTTTGAAACATAAGTTTACATCCTTGTTTAATCTTGCAATGATAATAACATTTATATGCAGACTATAATATCTTAATAACTTATAGCTCATTGTCTTATTCGTAGTAATTAGTGTTGTTATCATAATAAAAAGGCAAATTGTACAGATTTGTAACCTCAAACGTTACATAATTTTTATATTAGAATATCTTTATAATCTGGTCTATAATTTATATTTTACCAAAACAGGCACTCACTTCACATTGTAAACTGCAGGTAAATTCTTTAAAAGGGCACCCGCTTGCCCTAAATTGTTAGATTTTCGCAGCAAAACACTGAGCAAAGAGGCCATTTTTGACGGGACTGCGGTCCGTTCACCAATAAACAACACTAATGTCAAAATCTGTCAGCTGACAGTACAAAACTGTATTAATCTTGTAAGTTGAAGTTTGACGTAATTTAAATTTTGATCGCTATTATTATCCGATAAATAATGCTAAATTATAAGTTCTTTCATTTAAGTATTCACCAATTTAGTGTGTATTATTATATCATTCCATATATTTAAAGTTCATCTGCATATAAGGAAACACATTGCTGTGCTACTGCTTCGTTTAGTTACTGCATATCATCAAACATCCGTTATCATTCTGACACCACACTGATCACTAAATTACTTAGTACCTACATATTAGAAGTGTATAAGGCTTTTATGCCCCCAGACCAAGATTTGCTAAACATTAATTTTGTCTGTATCACCTCACCTTAATACTGACTTTGCGAGACTTCCTTTGCTAAATTCTCTTTCGGAGATAGACGAAACACATTTATTAATAAATAATATGTCCTATCTTATTTCCATAGATTGCCACAACCGCTTACCATCAGGCGGGCCGTTGTCTACCTCTGGTTTCTAAACATGCCTTTCATTTCACAATTAAAAGTTTTCAGAACCAACTGTACTGGCTCTTTAAACCTTGATGGCTTTGTACTTTTTCATTTTTCCATTCAAATAAGATCATTTTTTCAAATGTTTTTTCTAAGAGGTGATGAAACTTATGTACAAGAAAGACGGCAGCTACACGATACCACACTCCATTGTTACATATTTAACTCAGAAGGGTTTTATCGCTGCGTTTTATAAGATTGAAGGGAATGTTACCACGATGCCAAAAGAAGTCAAATCAGACAAATAAAAGAACGAAATAAAAAGTCATAAGTATACTTTATTAAATTCTATACTTCATTTAAATCTTAATTACAAACACAATTTCTTCATTCATTAGTTACCCTTAGGACAGTACTAAGTTACTTATAAGCCGCTGAAATTTGATGAAACCAACTTATCATTCATTCATAAGACTGAATGATGCAATGTGAAAGAAAAAAAAGTGTTTTATATACTATTGGTTCACCATAGATTGCCATACATTTAATTGGTATTTGAGTGGCGTTCTAAACAGCATATACATTAGCTGCTCGCTTCGAGATGCTTTCTATCTTCAAATATCAGGATTAAAAATGAATATAGTTATCTTAAAGCCTATTTGACTCGTTTTTGTTGCCGCTGGCGGTAAATATCGTTGACTGGAGGCGCTACACCCAGTTCATCATCATCGGAGTCTTCACCTAATTTTCGTCGACGAGCCTGATGAAAACAATAATAAAATATTATTTACATGATCCTAAGCTATAGCATGGGACAAAATCATAGTGACCTGTGAATGAACCTAACCTATGAAGGCAAAAATCGAATGATAAACCACAGTTCAGTGTAACTTTGTCCCATGTCTACTAAGCTATATTTTTGTATTTAATATTGTCCCTGCTGTACTTGAGTAAAGTATAGTCTATTATTATTTATTATTAAAAGAGGTTGTATCAAAAATTTATAGGTTGGGATGTCAGTAAATAGAGGACATTCTGATGAAGGAAGAAGAAAACATTGGTTTTTGTGTTAACCATTGCTTGAAGAATCTTCTCCTAAAATACCCGTTGTCTTGAAATAATCTCCAGACTACATAGTTCTATCAGGCCCAGTTCAGAATTAAGTTTTATAATATTTAAATAATATTAAATATCTTGTTACTATGTTACATAATACATATATTATATTATGTCTGGTGACAAATTTAAAAAGGTGTATGTTATGTTTTATAGAATATTATAATGATAGGAATAAAGTATATTATATGGTGTATATAGTGACCTTGCTGGCGACAGTGGTGATGCCCTCATCATCGACGATCCAGTGCACGGAGCGCGCCAGGTCGAATAGCTTCGTGTCGCAGCCATTCTCTTGTGTAGGCGCTGGTGCTGCGCAAGTTAATATTTAGTTTTAAATAAAATTACTACTCTACTATATTAAAAAAAAAAAATTGTACTCAATATTATTTTATTACAACAGAGTAATTAATTATGGATGGAAGTAATTCCTTATGGATACAATAAAATATTTAACATTACTTTTTAGTTATCAACCCAAACAATTTGGTAAAAACAAAGTATAAATTTAAACATATTTCAAAACCATCTAACGAAGACATACCGAATGAAGCAGTAACTACTCATCCTGCATCGCGCAATGAAAGTTTTCACACGTATTACTATATATTAGACTTGCAACGAATATTCGGTTACTATTCGGTATTCGGCCTATTCGGCTGCTTTTATTATATTCGGCCGAATACCGAATATCTACATATTATTCGGCCGAATACCGAATACTTAAATAATATATTTTGTCATTGAGAAATAATTGGTAAAATGAAAAATTAAAATCGATTGATTACGTATATATTCATATTTTCATTTCTGTTATAATCATTTAAGTAGTCATTGGTGCATAACACAGGTACATAATCATCTTCTGAATTGGAAAAATATAGGATTTTATGTATTTGAATTATTGTGGTAATCAAAATTTAGAAGGGTAAGGTTCTTATTTCTTTTATAATCATTTATTAAGTAGTTATTGGTACATAAAACAGGTACATAATTTAATTCACGTCTGTACAAGTTTTTGGCGCTAAAATCCAGCCGAATACTTTTGCCTAATATTCGGCTATTCGGTCAGGGGCCTTGCCGAATATTCGGTATTCGGTATACTGCCGAATATACTATTCGTTGCAAGTCTACTATATATACACAACTTCCCAACATTATTCGATGAGCCGCGGTCCAGCTGGCATCATCTCTCAACACTCCCGTCCTTCATAATGTTATTTTGATACACGTTTCTACAGACTTTGTTGTTTGATACTATACATTTTCATTTAAGCTAGTCAGCGCCGACTAGCGCACAATTAAACTCACCCATATAAATGTGGCATATATTATATACTTACGTTTGTCAGGTAAAGAGATCCTATTAAATAGTTGCATGAGTCTGTCTACGGAGACGAAGGGTCCGCGGAAGCAAGTCGGCGGCGGCATCAGGGTACACAGGTGGGCTGCTGCTGCTGGCAACGGGAATGTACCTCCTGTTGGACATTTACTTATTAGTATTATTTACACATATAAAATTATTCACTAAATGGCTACAAACTTCAAATTTTGGCAGGTAATGCTTTTTATGTTGTAAGCACCCACTAAGAAAGGATTTTAATATTTCACTTCGAATCGGGTAAAATGAGAGATGAATTGTTGTATGAATGTTGGTCATTTTCAAAATTAGAAACAGGACATAAGAAAACAAAACGCGAGCGACGCCGCGGGTTTTAGCTGGTTAATTTATAGATGCGGTCGCCTTCAGTGTATGTAATGTCAGGAAATCAACGGTAAAAATCGCCAAATACAAGTGTTGGATAACACAATAAATTCAATCAAAAACATATTAAAGTAAGTGATCCCAAAGTTTGGGACTAGGCGTTCCAGTAACTTTACTTTTTTTGTGGAAGAGGGGGCAAACGAGCATACGAGTGTCCTTAACACCAGTTGTAACTCAGGTAATAAAATTCATTGCAATTGAAAATGCCTACAAGTGCAGACTAAACATATGAAGTGAAAACAGTAATTTCTACTTCATACATTCATATTCAATGTATGTACTTCTTAGTTGTGAACACTATACATTTGGAAACAGTACTATTCTATCAGTCATGTGTTTAATATATCTCTTCTCTACAGCTTAACAGCAATTTTCTGTGAGACCGTAGTACCCCTCTGGTAGAATCGACCCATAATAATAGTAACTTCACGCATCTGAAAAACCGCCGTCTGATACCAAACTAGGCAGAGCCTGTACTATGATAATCAGAGTACTAATAAACATACTTATATATTTTTAAATACATACATATTATAGATAAATTACACCCAGAGACAGAAAAAGTGATCATGCTCATCACACAATGATTTGTCCTGGGTGGGAATCGAACCTACAACCTCTGGCTTAGCAGTCAAGGTCACTAACCACTAGACCAACAGGCATTCAGGCAGTCCATTTATATATATATTAGTTACCTGATATAGGATGTTCGCCTGGTAGTGGGTTCACTTTAGGCTTGTAAGGTATCATCTGATTGGTGTCGGGTCTGGCGATGTCCTTGTTCGGGTCGTTATCTCTGCAACAAATATGTTTGTTTTAAAGCAGGTAGGCCACAAGCTGTCTTCGCAAATCAGAGTCCTCCTGGTCCAGTTTTCTGTGAGGTCAAACTACTCAAATGTAAAAAAGAAAAAGATTTGGACATTTGACACAACGCATCTAGTTTCAAACTCAGCAGAGCTTGTTCTATGAAACCTAGATTGTCGGCACTTCTACTCATAAAACTCTTTTTGTAAATACATAAATATTTTACACCGAAAACCCCGAAACAAATATTTGCAGAACACACAAAGATCGGGTCCGACTCAAGGATCGAACCCGAGACCTCAGCACAGCAGTCGCATATGCTACAACTGCACCACTGAGGTAGTCAAAATATGTATCTACCTTCTTTGTCCCATCTGAAAATAATTACATTCGCAAGCCTAATTGTAAGGCAAAGCCGCCTTTTATTACTATTATTATATATAAATGTTACTATTATTAAATAACAATATTAGATACAAAGATTTATCTTACTTTTGTCCGAGTATAACGGCTGCTAATTCCGGCGATATTCCAGCCAGAGCGCCACCTAAAGCCCACGATTTGTTCGACATAGAAGCCACCTGGTGACAAAATTTATATTAACTTTGATTTTGAACTGATACCACAGTCTTTGATGTTTTTCTACACCTTATTTTATAATAATAAAACATAATAACAAAGACCCCTACCCCAATTAGTAGGAGGAGTTGGGTTGTTCTCTGTTAACCTCACTAGGTGAAATGCAACGAAAGAATTGTTTAACGGTTTACTGAGATGCCGTGGTATCTCTCCGGTCGAACAGCCCATGTGTGCATAAAAATATGTGTAATCGTAACCAATCCTGAGTAGTCCTATACATGTGAAGGTTTAAATATAAAAACTACTGACTTTTATTAAAAGAAGTCAAAATACTAATTAAAAAACTAAAACTGACTTCAAACAATACTAACAAAGAGCACTAAAAATCTAGCAGCAATCGCAGTTGATTTGCTGACATTTTTTGAAGAGTTTCGTTGTCTGTCAGACAGAAATTTAAATGGGACATTTCAGAATTAACGCCTTTCGATCCGTCCGTCCGTTAAGTCCGTTAAGTATATATGACGGAGTTATGCCCGAACATCATAAAAAGAAACAATATAAACTTCCGAATTGATAACCACGTCCCTTTTGAAGTCGGTTAAAAACACCAAAGTATCGCCTAAGACTCGTACCTCAGTATATCCTATAGACTTTAGTTCAGCGATGCTGCAAGGGTATAGATCCAGGAACTTGTATCTGTCGACCAACTGCGCTGTTTCTTTGCCCTCAAACTCTTTGATCTGAAATACAATATAATGATTAACACCAGCACGAGGTTACTTCAAAGGTTAACACTGCAGGACACAGCTAGTTTTCTTTAAATTATACCACACCAGTCTGTCATTTAGACAGAATAAACAGTTAAACTCATGTAAACTGTTAATTAATTTAATAGGTGACTCTGCATTCATGTAGCTTTCTATTGCGTAGAACAATTAACTGGTATAGATCTCTGCTCTACCCAAAGAGTCTCGAGAAAAAAAGACTAGCACTGTAATTCCTTCGGTAAAGTACAAAATACAAATATACACCTTTTCCAGCACAGCTTGTCTCCGCTTCTCAACTTTTACAATACTGACTAAATCCCCGATATTGGACTCAAACTCCAAAAACCTGTTCCATATGTCCACTGAACTCTCCGGTTTTAAACTACCGGAGGAGAGGACTCGTTCGAAGAGCACACGTGTATTGTTGTCCTCTGAAACGAAAGATAAATTTATACATATATATAGGCAATATAATTTACTCATAGGGGCAGCTTCAACTAATATTTAGTTTTACCGACCCAGGTAATATAAAAATACCCAAGGATAATAAGAATGCTAGGTTACTGACACAGACTGTGCTTGAAATAGACACGAATATTCATTTAATAAAAGTAAAAATATACATAAGGAATATGTCCCCACCTTCCTCTTTACATTCCCAAGTTCCCAGTTCCCAACATTCCTCACAAATTCTTAAAGTACCCGGTATAACGGCAATAGGATTGTATCTTATTTCGTAAGTGGGATTAAAACTGTAGTAGGCAGAACATGGGCGTTTATTACGCCTCTGTTAAACCCTACGGGGATATGGTCATAGGTATATTTATGTGTATTTATAAACAAAATAACAACTAAAAAGAAGATCAAGAAATATAGATTCCATTCGGTAAGTTAAAAACTATAGGAGACCGATTGCGCAATACAAAATGCATCGTTGTAACTTTTAAGAGGCATGAAGATTTGAAATAAAAAAATATTTGTGCTATTTAAATTACTTTAATTATAAATTACCATTAACTTACCGTTTAAATGCGACAGGTAGTCTATATAACACAGCACATACTCAGGAATGTGAGAAAACTTCTTTAGACCCAGCTCAAATATTCTGAACGCTATGTTCTTGTCCTTTGAGCAATAGTATTCCATTAGAGCGGCCGCCACGAATACGTGGTAACGAGACCTACAAAGTAAAAAATAATATCCTTGTGTATAGATATCATTAAATAAAAATAATTTAGAAATAGAAAGTCATAGCTAAGTCACGTAAAAGGTAAGCCCTTTGTAAGGACAGGCATAAGTCTAGCAGAGGATTATTAAGGGCTGTTGATGATGAGATGATGTAATCTTTTTATTAGATATATATGTGTATCTAAGTCATCATAGCTTCTAAACAGTTGAATCAATTTGAAATTGCTTTTTTGACTTTATCGAGTTTTCTTAGCTATAATTTAAGAAAATCTGTTACAAATGGATTCTGGAATGTGTGTTTCGGGAGTAAACGAGCAGATATGCCACCTGATTGTAAGTGACTACCGTCGCTTGTGGAACTTTGCAACTAAGAGTCACAAGTAATTTGCGGCCTTTTGAGTCACCCCCCGGAATTAGGGGAATGGTTTGTGCTAAGTTTCCCTAACTTAGTAGGTAAATAACGAAAAAACTGTTTTTTGTATTCTGTACGGCCGTGGTATCAATGGTCAAGCCGGTCCATTTTTGCCGAAGTATGGCTCACTAACGGTGTGAAAAATGGATATCGCGGCTAAGACTGCAGTAGTTCCAAAAAGCTCTGGATGCGTACCCATATAAATGAGCAATGAGCAGAGACCACTACAACAGAATCAACGGCTTGTTCGTCTAGTGGTTAGTGACCCTGACTGCTAAGCCGGAGGTTGTGGGTTCAATACCCAACCTGGACAAATAGTTGTATGATTAGCACGGTCTTTTGGTCTGTGTTTGGGTGTTATATATCTATTGTATGTATGTTTTTAGAAATGTATAGGTATGTTTATCAGCAGTCTGGTCAGCGAAGTACAGGCTCTGCCTAGTTTGCGATCAAACGGCCGTGTGTGAGATGTGTGATATTATATTTTTACCTCGGATCCTCTCTAGCTCTCTTGAAGACAGTCCTGGCCGATTTGATACCTTCAGCTCTCCGCGCAAACTTCATATATTGTACGTAGGCTAACGTCGGGTCTATATCCTCCATGTCTAAGTAACGAGTGTATACTTGGTGAACCTAGAATTAAATACAATATTTTAATATATCTAAACAATGTAGAGACAAAAACAGTTTGATAATTAGATTTATTTATTATAGACAGCTAGTAGTTATGTATGGGATATTCGTTCGTATCGGCTAAAACTGTAGGTTTATTTTGCTATAAATAAAGCTGTAAATATCTAACGTTGTTACTGATAGTATTAAAACATATACATTCGATTCTCTCGATAACGAGATCAAACCTTTTTTTTTTGATAATATCAAAACAATTTGTTGTTATTGCGACATATACCATAAAAAAGTTCAGATTCGTATCCGGATCTAGAGGCTAATAAACAACTCAAACTCAAAATGACTGCACGGCTGAAGTGGTGGATTTAAGCGGTTAGATCGCCGTTTCCTACTGCGCTAAGTGTTGTGGGTTCAATTTCCGCGTGGGACATTACTTTGTGTAATCCACAAATTGTTGTCCTGAGTCTGGGTGTTAGTTTTGTCTGTTTCACGTATGTTTGTAAAGTCCCCCACGACACAGAATTATATTTCTTATGCGGGAGTTGTCTTCTTCTTTTTAAATAATCTTTATTTCATAGAAATATGAAGAATTGTTTGAAATCGTCTGTTATGTAGACTCTAAGGTCATATAACACACACAATAGCACAATCTGTGTTTTGTAAAATATTTAGCAAAATAAACATTCATATCTTTACCTTATTATAATGTAGCCTGCTCTCCTCATAGTCGGCGTGTGCGAAGTGCAACAGCGTGGACTGTTTCAGGGGACCGCTGGTAGCTCTCTCGTACACAGCAGCCGCTTCGTCAGAGAACAGCCGGGCGGCGTTTGAGTCCTATAACGTACAAATATTTTTAAAATTAATGTATTAAAGTGGAAGAAGCTAGAATGTTTATTTCTAATTATTTGAATGTGTCCAGAATCTGTGGTATAAGATATACACGTCTTTGAGTGTAGATATTTATGTTTAGCGCTATGTATATGTTTTATTATTAAACTAGCTGGTACCCGCGACTTCGTATGCATGGAATTTAACGCCTGTCTTAGTGGCGTAGTACGGAACGCGACTGTAGTCCGTTCTCGCGAGATCTCGGCCTTTTTAGCATATTGATCTCGGACGAAAAAAGGGCGAGATTTCGCGAGTTTAACGAGATTGTCTTATTCGAAGCGCGGACTGACACGGACGGAGTTGCGATCTGCCGCTTTCGTTAGGTGATTCACAAGATAAAATTTTATTACTAAAAGATAAAGACTTGTTTCATATTAGAAGAGAAGACTGGTTGTTTCTTTCATTTGTTATTAAGTTAGAAGTTTATTAAAAATATAGACAACAACAATGTTTGATGCATAAAAGTCTATTGAAAAAATTCTTGAAAATAAATGATTTTCTTACAGTACTTATAATTATTATTATTTTTTCCCAATTTATTCAAATTGTGATTATTTGCAAAAAAACACATAAAACTGAAAATCTCCCGAGATCTCGACATTGGCGAATCTCGCAGTATTGTTATTTATAAACTCGCGGGATCTCGCTTGAGCCCCAATCTCGCGAAATTTGCATTCCCTATATAGACAGCTACGTGGTAATAAAATATTATCGAAATCGGTCTAGCCGTTTTGAAGATTACCCAAACAGACAGACAGACAAAAAATGTTTAAACTGGATTTTAGGCATAGGTATCGTGTCATGCAAGTAACCGTGTGAGCATGAAAAAACCTATTATTTAACAGAAACTTCAATTTCATTTATATGTATAGATATTAAATCGTAAACTGTGTGTATAAATTATTTCCGTTAATTAGCTTCCCCGTTCGAACATGTTTCTAGAACGTGTCATCCAAAATTCCAGTGAGAATACATACCCCTTTTTCTTGTAGTAGTTTGGCAGAATGGTCTAAGAACTGGGCAGCTTGATGCCACACATCGGGATGGTGCGCTAAACACAGGAGGCATTGTTCAATAGCGAACATTACTCGTCGAGCGACTAACGCTGTGTCCTCAGAACGTAGTGGGTTCGATCTCTCCCAGGTAATATATTTCTTCCAAAGTTCCACCTGGAAGAAAAACATTGACCTAATTAATAATTAGTTTAAAAATTCAATGTCAAGCGATCGCCTAAAACACAAGTTTACCTTAGTTCAAGCAGGCGGCGACTAAAGTTTTGAACTAAATCTTAATACCTTGACGTGTTAATACCTTAATACCTTCCAAAAGTTTTTTTTACCCATGATTGATTTTTATCAATCATGGGTAAAAAAAACTTTTGGAATAAATATCACTACTATAGTTTTACAGTACTGTAACTTAAGCTAATTATTGTCTTAAATCTGTTTTAAATTGAAATGGCCTACATTGTAACTATATTTTGGTCAAAAAAAAAAATATTATTAAATACTAGCTGGTACCCGCGACTTCGTTCACGTGGCATTTGAGAATTGATACGCGATTGCAGTCCGTGAGGACTCGGGTTCCATTCCCGGTGCGGGCAAAATTTTATAGGGTTTTCTGAGAAGAAGAATAGTCTAAGTTACTCCTTATATAGACAGCTACCTGGTAGTAAAATATTATTAAAATCGGTCCTGCCGTTGTAGCCGTTTTAAAGATTACCCGGAACGAACGGACAGACAGACAAAAAATATTTCAACTGATTTTTAGGCATAGGTATCGTGCAAATAACCGTGTGAGCAGGACAAAAAACTTTGACATTACAAACAGACACTACAATTTTATTTATTTGTATAGATTTTTATTGTTCAGATATGAAATCTCTGATATAATCATATTAAAAGGGGGGTTTCTGCTGTATTCCACTTATCTTTTTATAATGTCAAGAAATCGCCTGAAATATATGAGTATGAACCCCTTACTTGTTTCATTTCCTCTCTGTCAGCGGTGGGTGGTGTTGCAGGCATGTTCCTATTCAACCCTCGAGTAACTGTCTCCAACTCTTTAGCAACACGACGAGCGTTCATGTATTCCCGGGAGCGCTCCATTGCCATACGTTCAGCTGTGAAAAGATATAAGAATTTATATGCTAGAAGACATATGTACATATAAAATTACTTGCCGTGACTGACTGACTGACTCATCTGACTGAGGTTTTATGTTGTAAGCACTCACTAAAAAAAGATTTTTGGAAATTTCACCCCTAAGTGGAAAATAAGCGATGAGCAGTTTGTATAGAACTTCGTCATTTTTAACGCGAGCTAAGCCGCGAGCAATACCTCGTCATAGATATAAGTGAAAATGTGTAGGAGTGCAGTTAGAGAGCTAGGATTTGTTTTACAGCCAGTTTCATTTATGGGTTTGTGATCCATCCTTTTCAGCAATATCCCTTTCCTACCACAGCCGTTCTTACTTTATCTCTCTTTTCAATATTTCCATCTAATCCGGAAGGTACAAGTTAAAATCGATAGGTTTGCCCCCTATTAAGTGCGACTAAAAATGGCGTCTTATACGTCTGCCTACCCCTTTGGAAATGTAAGCGTGAATGTATATATGTATATGAGAGCTTCACTGAGGGGCTATCAGTGAGACTGTGACTACTAGAACCACAGTATGTAGAAAACAGTGACTAAAACGAATGGACCATCAGAGCTGATGAGCGATTGGTGAAGTGTTCAGTGCATAGCCTTCGCAACGACTAACGCTATCGTCGTCGACGATCGAAATAATATACCCCCAATTGTCCAAAAAATGCCACAGTTGATCTTGACGAAAATCCAGATATAATTAGTTAGAAACTTACCAATAATAGTGTTGATGCTCTGTTCAAACGATATGTAGTCCTTCCATAGAGTTTCTATTCCAATTATGGGCGTTATAACGGCTCTTTGGTACACCTGCATACCGACAAAAATATATCATATAAATTGTGTTATATAGTATTAGTGACGGTATAATATTTACCTTATAGATCAAGTGTTGAGTTTAAGTTTAAACTTCATAAAGCATAAAACTTCGCGATGTCTACTATTACTACTGTATCACCAGTCCTAGCAAATAATCTTTTGACTGCACGGATGGTTTAAGGGGTCACCTCGCCGCATCCTACTGCGCTGAGTATTGTGGGTTGGGTCCCTACATGGGACAACACTTTGTGTGATCCACAAATTGTTGTTTTAAGTCTGGGTGCTCTTTGTGTCCGTACCCGGCGTGATCTGGTGTAGAACTACTCCCAACACTCGTTTAATACGTGGTATTCATGAGAAATTTACCTTTCTGACGGCAGATATCTTCTGGTTCTCAGCGTAAGAGCCGATAGCCTCAACGCTCTTTAAAAATGTGATGTAATCGTTCCAGATAGGATACGCGTGGATATCCAGTCCTATTTTGTCAAGGGCAAAATCGTACGCTTGAGCCATCTTTTCTCTAAAAAAAATATAAATATAATTACTGTTCTCGTTATGAACTGTAAATTAATTACTGTTCTCGGTAGATGAATTCCCTACTATAATTATATTAAAATATTACAATTCAACTTAATTATTTCATGAATTTTCCCATTTAATAAATGTAACCTCCAGACCATGAATTAATTATATGCAAAATAATTAACTTTTGTACCTTGTCTCATCTGTAAACTTCTACAAGAAGTTTACTAAAAGCCTTATTTTAATCATCATCATCATCAGCCTTTAATAGTCCACTTCTGGACATAGGCCTCTCCTTAGAAAGGAGGTTTTGGTCTACTATACCACGCTGGCCAGACGGGTTGGTATAGTGTTTGTGTCAAGTCGAGTAGGCAGGGCGGCAGCACGGGACCCTTACCTTCCGGCTGACGCAGGTGCTTTCCGGGCACGGTTGCTTCGGAAAGTACCTGCACTCGGTCGCTAGGAGGGAACTGAGTCCCGCCTGCCACCACTGCGACTGCAGTGAGGACTCGGCCCAGCACACGCTGGCGGTCTGCCCCGCATGGGCGGCGCAGCGCCGGGCCCTCACTGCAGTCAACGGAGTGGAGCTCTCGCTACCGGCCGTAGTACGCTCCATGGCCGGTAGCGACAGTTGTTTTACCGCGGTCGCAACCTTCTGCGAGGAAGTAATCTCGCAGAAGGAGGCGGCGGAGAAGGCCCGGGAGGACGACCTCCACTCGGACCCGATCCGCCGCCGGCGAACCGGGCGGCGGAGGTGCACTTATCACCGCCTCATGCCGCCCTGAGTGTGGCCGCGGGTGGACGGGGTGGGTTTCCCCTCCACCCGCATTAGTTTGGCCAGCCGCGAGGGGGCGGCGTCCGCGTGTGCCGGACGTCGCCTAAAGAGAGGAAAATTTTGAGACGGAGCCCGCAACAGGAGCGGGCCGGCGCTAGGAGGGGTCCGGATGTCTTAATAACAGCTGTTCCCGGATCCCTCCTATTACAGGCGCAGAGTGGCATACCGTGTGGTTTTAGTCGGTCCGAGTCCGACACACCACCCGGCCGCAAACCCCGGTGGGGTGACGGTCCGAGGGGATTTCCACACGTTTAAAAAAAAGAAAAAAAAAGGGTTTGTGTCAAGTTTTCCTTCTCTTCACAGTGCTGTTGTCCTACGTAGTTAGCTCCCTTAATCGGCTCTTACGACATCCACGGGATGAATAGGGGTGGTGTCACTCCGCATTCTTAATCCGTCACCACACGGACAATACAACAACACACATACGACAACCGGGAATTAAAAAACTAATTTACTTCCCGGTTAAAGGGCTCGAACATCGTAGCTATAAAAGTTCAAGTTACAGCAAAAGCTAAAGCAGGTCAGAGGACCCTGGCCTGCTCGAGCTGTTACAATCCATCCGTATGATCCCTTCCTTCCATGGCCTGTTCTTTTTACCTACCTTCCATTTTAATTTACTTAGAATTTTTCCGTCCTTAATTTTCTAAATGCCCAGTTGACTGCAACGAATGCTGACTTAAAAAAAGTATCCCCCCACCCCCCGGTCTGCAGAACTGTGCCCAGAACGGTTGGCTCAGAACGCAAGCGGAATATTTAATCGAACATCTCACTATATTTGGTTTTTAGGCCCTATCAAGTTAGTCAGGTTGTCGGTCATCTTAGCCGAAAAATTTCCCCCACTTAACGGTACCGTTCATATTTTGATGGTGAGCTGTCCTTGGATCGCGTTCGACAAGCATTGGTAATGTTAATAATAAAAATACGTACTTGTAGGTAGGCAGCATGCACTTAGTCTCCTTCACGTAATTGAGGTACAGCCTCCACAGCTCAATGTTGAGAATCTTCATCAAACATCTCTGAAACAGCTGCATGTCCAAAATTATCATCAGTGATGGGTGTAATCGTTGGCGATCGTTAATTTGGGTAAAATACAATTCATTTAATTCTTATTTAAAATATATATTATTATAATTCTCAGAAGCTGCTGTTTGATGACTTCCTGGAAACTCATCTTTTTCGTGCGCATCTTGTTGTAATCACAGGTTGAATATCAAGATCCAGGATTAAGCAGAGTCCCAGGATCTTGCATCATATACTTGATTCCCTACAACTTCCACAGTAAGTATAAGGGCGCAAACGAGGAGACGGGTCAAAATAATGATTAATGGTGAAAGGACATCTCTAGAAGAGCATAATACCCTTATTTCTTTCACATATGATAATGGTAGGCCCTAAAAATCTCAAGTCTCTTTATTCGTCGATTTTTACGACGAAACAGACCTTATCTAGAAATAGGTTTATGCTACCGACATTTTATCATTATAATTCTGCATCTGCATTTTTGCTTACGTAGATGATTAAGTCATCTGTCGCTGTCTTTAATTTTTTATGTGGCAATACTGAATTTTAAGCTCTTATGGTAGACGCGTTAAGTAAATATAATCTTTTAGAAATTCCTTTTTTTATACTATTCAAAATATTTTTCGGCAACACATAACGCTCCTTATATGTGGCGGACCGTATTGATCTGTTTCCGTGTTCGTTGAATGAATTCTAAAGGGCCACTTTTGCATAATAACTTTGGAAAGTAAAAATATTTGTAATTGATTAGTGTAATGGATTTATTTTTATTGTTGTTTTTTGTACTGTATATTGTATTGTATTGTTCGGTTGTGATTTTTATTATTATTAATTTTAGTCCTACACTATTGTATTGGACGTACTCTGTAATGCTAGTGTAGGGTAGTTTATGCATAAAAATATTGAACCAATCATTTCTGTAATTACCGGTACCTACTTTGGTTTTTCAATTTCCTTAATCCAAAAGTCATCGATATCAGATTTTATTTAAATTGGCCTCTTACGCTTATTCCATTTAAAGCCTATGAACATCCGTTCCCTATATTTTTTAACATGCATTTTTTAATGCTTTTTGTTAAGAATAGGACCGTGCACCATAAACGGAAACAATAAATTCAGATCATTATTTAAACTCCAAAATCGTGAGTATTTTCGAAAAAAAAACGTATTTATTTTCTATCTTACAATATTTTGTTGAAAACGGTAGAATAAAAAAGCAATAGATCGTATCACAAAAAATATCAATACTAAAATACAATACAAGGGTCCTAGCAAAACTATATAAAATCTTAGCGTGATTGTGTGACGCCCGTCCTAATATTGCGCTACGCATATAGTAATTTGAACCTAGCATTTTTGAAGTGAATTTGTTTATTACGCTTTTAAGCCTCCACCGATTTCAAAAATTCTATTACCAAAAGCTACATTTTTAGCGAGTTACATAGGCTACTTTCTACCGCGATAACCGACATACACGCAAGCGTAGGGCGGAGCCGCGGGACAAAACTAGTATTCTTATAAGATATTATTTGAGTTTTTCGTTACAACGCTTTTTACAATGTATATAATTCGAGCTGTGCCAAATTGACGGACCCACAGACAAAAAATTAATACATTATAACAGCTGGAAACTGTTTGACACAAATATAAACGTGAATTCAAGAGTTTATCAACCGGACCCTTCTTAGACTTACCTCATTTGCATAGAAAACTCTGAATTTCTTTATTTGAACTATATTTTTTTATGTATGCCTAAGTTACCGGTTAACAATATAACTGTATTTTGTGGATCAATTTGTATCTACTGTACTGTATTTTATGGATAAATGATGATTTCTTAAGTATCAATAATATACGAACTTTGTAAGAAAAAAATAATACAGTCGAATTGAGAACCTCCTCCTTTTTTTTTGAAGTCGGTTAATAAAGGATTTGCCCTCTTGAGTATTATGGTACCTAGTTGATCTTATATCGATAGGTAGAGCATACAGACCAGATGGTCGCACTTTGACACTAAAGTAAGTTTTATAAGACTGGCTTAGTTTTTCTACAGGATGTTACAAAAAGGATAAGATAAAAAATTTAAAGCTAAAAATACAAGTACCTATGTGACACAACTCAAAAAAGTTAGACCTGGTTTGCTAGGTATGCTCATGTTTTGGAAGACCATTCCAATTGTTTAACAAAATAAAGTCCGTACTTCATAGCAAATTTATGCTTATTTTAACTATTCCTTAATTTTCGCCTATCCTTTTTATACTAAAAAAAAACAATTACATCTTGGAAGTAAGCAATTTTTGTAGTAAAAATTTGAAAGTTGGTTTACTCGTAAAATCTACTATGCCATTACTGCTCGTGACTGTACTTACCGAGCAATAAAGCGTTTTAATATCGTAATAAATTACATCTTAGAATGTCTTTTTGTGCAGATACCCACAATGTCAAAAGAAAATTCACCTACCTTCATACATAATCTTCTTTCTATATACTTAAGTTGAATGTAGATTTGTCATAAACTGGCTAGTTTTTGGTAATGTTCAATCAACAGTCTAGATCGTTAGTACGAGTATTTAGATACATGTTATTTAGTAGTGTGTATTCACCTATACTTCAGCTGCAGTAGGTGCAAAAATCCCATACATGGTAATACTGGAATGTACTCGTATGTCCTACGACGCTTAACTTTAATTCTCATTTAATTGGAAAGAAGGATGAATGGTAAAAAATGATCAGAGTGCTGTAATACTCATTTAAACAAAAATCGGTTGTCTGTAAAGTCGGTTTACTGACGATAGTTGAACGTGACAACGTCATAAGAAAATACTGATGGAATGGTTGCATTTTTCAAACATGTATTATTGTATACGAGTAGCAGCTGTCCACGCGAACGCATCGCTCACTCAAGTAGGAGAGAGACAGATGTCGAACGCTGCCGAACCCGGAGGCCGATTGTGCCTCTTTGTCACTCGTTCCCTTAAATGGCCTTAAATGGAACGCCGCAGAGCGAGGTAACGCCGCATGAGTCATGTTTTATCATGCGTGCAGCCGGCTCCATCGAATTATAAGACGTTGTCACGTCAAAAACCTGTTATAATCAAATTATGTTTCAATTTCAAGTTTTCACTTCTGTCAGCACTCCCGGAGTGGCAATGTTTTTTTTTTCAGCTTTGTTCAGCATTTCTCATCAATGCAATTTCAATGTGTCACAGCGAAGCATGATAGCCAGTATTATATAAAAATCAATGTATGTTTGTTCATACCGTTGTTCAGAGCATCATGAAATAGTGCTTTATCCAGAAAAAAAATAATTTTGCTACTTTTATGATCACGACCTTGACGTGAACAATAAAATTGAAGGGGGATACTTTTAATAGAGAAGAAAGTTTTTTTTGTTATACTAATCTAGGGCACTGAACAGTAATTTAATTAAATACTACCCTTACTAACGAACTAAACCCTTGAATACAAAATTTGCCAGTTTAATACCATTCTTTTTAAGATAATAAAGGAACAGGGTTCTGTCATAAAATCCTTCACACAAAACACAAGCTCACATACACACATGCGCGGAAATAATTACTTAGGATTTTATCTAAAAGGGTATTACATGTCAAAAGTGAGATTTATTTGCGAATAAATAATAGTTTGCTAAAACTCGATTTCTAGTCTAAAAAAATTAATTTCTAGTACACCTAGTCAGACATTTCCCCATAACCCAAAGGTAAACTGGGAGAAAATGCCTGTGGCATTAAGTCCGCCATTGTACAATCATTTGTTATTTGTGCAAAAAGAATTAAATAAATAAATTATAAAAAAAATGTGTTTTTAATTCCAAATTCGCTGCAAAATCTCGCCTCCAACATGTCTGAACACATAGCCCTAGCCGAAAAAAAAGAAAAGTTTCATAATTTTTATTTTATTTAAACTCTTAACTTAGGTACACTTATCTACTAAGTCTAAGGACTATACCAGTCCTTTATGTATATATATAATATCAGTAAAATTCTTATCACAGCATCCCTTAGCCTTTAAAATCTATATTTTTATCACAGATTCCTAATAACTTTTTATTATTTTTTAATTCTAAACAACTTACACTGTTATAATACTAACCTTTTCAACCTTTTCGAAATTTCTTGCCTTCATCTGAAATGATGGAAAAATAATTAAATATTATGTGTATTTGTTAACACCATTGTATTCACAGTAGCAGTTATTTAACAAAAAAAAAACGAGACAGCAAGTAGTTCCATATAATATGTAACATCTTCCCACATAAAGGGGCTAGACGAGCCAAACACAAATTCGTGTCCTGTGAACAGATTTACAAGGCCTCGAACGAGCGCGTTCCGAACTTTTGGTTCGTGCTCGACTGCGCATCGCCAATTGTCGGTTTTTAGACGAAAACAAAGGGATTTGCCATGCGCTCATGGACGTGTTTGAGTGACAGACGATTCGCTCCAGCATCATCGAAACGTGGACAGAAGACCTACGTTTGCAATTAATCGAATTATACCAAAATAATCCAACATTATGGGACCCAAAACATGAGGATTACTATGAGTGCACGATGATGCAAACTTGTCCTTTTTGGCCAAGAGCAACGAGCACACTGCGCATAACTACGTTTGAGGAAAGTAATCGTTGTAGGCTCCTTGCACGTGCACACTTGACGACGACGAGCAGAACGGCTCCAGTCGTGCTCGGTTCGCCTAGCGTAAATCCACCGTTACATGCGCGCGGTTTTATTGGTCAAATCAAATAGCGCATGCCAGGTAAGCATGTTACATACATCGGTTTCTTAACATCTTAGTTATACATCAAATAATGAGATAATTTTAGTTTCTATTTCATATAACCTCTTGTCTGTTGAAACACCGGCTCCCGGTATAAACACATTTTCGCCGGAACTGTTGACATACCGGGAGCCGGTATGGGTAAGTGTGTTCTCATAATCGCTCTAAAGCACGTCATTGTATATACCCTATCCTTTCTAACACGTTACAAATGCATAAAGAAGAAACAGGCTGACTAGTGAAGCCAAAATCTCGCGCAGCTTTAGTGAAAAAAATGTAAACAAGAGTCAGTCAAAACTCCGCCATCGCCTAGGTGACTACTTATTTTTTGTGTTGGTGAAAACTTGTGTTTTATCTTGAAGTGATTCGCTGAATATTAGAAAAAACGATGGAAGGGTAAGTAATTATTGATTATGTATACAAATTATATAATAGTTCTGTTAATTTTCACTAAAAATCGGTCTGTAACTATCAGCATGTTCAATGTCGAACATGTGACGACGATTTTATTGTCGTCATATTTCAACCAAAAATGGATGAAAAGGCAAGTTGATGTTAGATCTAAGACGTAAAATTAATTAGTTTTGATATATTTCATAGGTAGCATTATATTTCTTTCAAAAACATGAAAATATGTAATGGAAATGGGAGTACATAGTCTCATACCGGGAGCCGGTTACGTCAACAGTATACGTTTGACATTTATGGGCAGCCATGTTTTTTGTGTTTCTGGGATGCTTCCTAAGTATGGATATGCCTCAGAAATGTTTTTGTATGCATTAAAATTTTAATTTATTTTTTATTTTTGCAATTTTTTTCATTATCGGTTTTTCTTTTGGTTTTTGTATTGAGCAAAATTATATTTTTAGTTATTACGATACTGGTACTGATTTTCATATTTTCTAAGGATTCCTCCAGACGGGGCTTCATCTTCATCATCAGCCGTCAGGGCTCCTCCTTTGAGGGACGAGGAAATTGCCCGAATCTTGAATCATGGTAAGTGAATATTTTTCTTTCAGACCTATCTTTTAGTAGTATATATATATCTGTTTACATAGGTAAAACAGACTACAGTATATTATTATTATTTACACAGGCAGGGAAGAGGATGCTGACAGCGATGATGAAGATGAAGATTTAGTTCAGCCAGTGCATCTGCCGAGGAGAGCTGAAAGACTTTTTATGTCTGAGGAAGACACTGAGGTGCCACCGATAAACGCTGCTATAGGCTTTGAGTGGCCACCTCAACTTCCCTCCGGCCTGCAGCCCCAACCTAGCGCCCAGCCCGAACCCGAACCCAACGCCGAGCCTGAACCCAGTGCCGACCCCGAAGCCAGCGCCGAGCCATACAATAAGTTTGATTTTAAGTGGAGAGGGTTTTCAGAATCTCAAATTCCTCCTGAATTGAGAAAAAAACCATTCTCCGAAATTAATTGTGGTCCCACAGTTCCATTGGCGAGCGATGTGTGTTCACCTGCTTTGAGCCACATCACACTTAACAGTAACACATCACACAAACAGTATACCTATACGCACAGCTACTCAGGAACACACAGGAGTCTGAAACGCTTTATGTCGCCAGTTCAGTGGGAATTAGGAAGGTAAGTATATTTGTCCAAATCGTGAAACAGTAAGACAATTAAGGCTGTATATGTATATTTATGTATTTGAAAGTAATATTTTTACGTATTTATTTCTTTATTTACGTAGGTTACATTTTCATTAAAAATATCTATCTATCTATCTATATTTATTATTATTAGCAATATTTTGGGTAAAATATATAATTGTAGTTCCCTCGGTTGCGTCATTCGTTTGGATTACAGTCATCATTATTTGAGAGTGCTGCCAACCCTTTTAATCTACAAGAAATATCAGTGCTGCTAACCCTTGTATTCTACAAGCAATATCCCACGAAATCAGGGACTATATTTGATCTTATCATTAGCTATGACTGCAATATTCATTTTTTGAATTAGCAAAAATTTATAAAAGTACTTATACTAAATGTGTAAATATCAACTACTCAAATGCAGTGGTAAATTTATCAAAAAACGTTAGATTTAGCGTTGAAATCATTCTGTTGGCAGCTCTCTGGTTAGTACTTTGGTATATGGGCGTTTTTCAAAAAAACTGACCGTTACGTTACCGGAATGTGACCGGAATCCACTTTTTTGACCTATGCAATGTGTAACATATTAAAGTGCAAAGCTCATATACCCCAATTAGATAAAAATGTTTTGAATGTACGTTAGTAAAAAAACAAACACTATACTCGTGAGAACCATACCTTGAAAATATGTTATACGAAAAGTCGTATCCATACTTTTTTAACCTCTCAGGTACCAAAATGAACCATTTTTTACTACTTTTATCAACTTACATCTTGAAATATTTCTTAGAACTGTATTGTTCTGTTGATTTGTTTTGATGCTTTAATCTATCTCAATATTAGAAAATGTCTAAAAATTCCGTTAGTTGCAATATTTTTTCCAAAAAACTATGTTTTTAAATGTATGTAATTTTTGACCCAAATTTTTGAGTTATTTTTGTTTAACTCCTACTCAAGATATATGTAATATAGTGCTGCGATACTTTTGTAATACATAGTTTATAAGCTTAAGTTTCTAATAAACAAAGCATCTTAGTCCATATCAGCATAAGTCATTTAAAATTAGGTTGAAATATTATACCCACTTTTGAGGACTTGTTAGTGGCAGTTCTTTGTGACTATATTAAGAACATGTGTTGTGTAAAAAATATGTATGGTGGCACTTGAAGTTTGAGTTGTATTTTATACCTAATGTGATAAGTTGTAAATAAAATATTTTATGAACTTCCAAATATTGTTGTAATTAAAATTATAACCGAAACTTATCTAAATATCATAGTACCCTATGTTGAAAGTTCTATGTTAGCTATAATTGAGTATTTATATAGAAATGGTTGAAAGTGAATAAAGATTATTCAATTTCCAATAAGATTTTTAACTTGAATTGACTTGATTCCAACTAGATACGGAGAAAATCCAGTTACAGTAAAAGTCTATCTCAAAAATGGGCTGTCTGTTGACCATACCGGCTCCCGGTATAACAGGTAATGCAAAATGGGCTAATGTCATTCAACATACAAGAGGATAATTTTTACTATTATTTTTTGGGAGTAAATTCAGACACTGATAAAGTCCTACCCAACTAAGTTCATTCTATTCTATTAACATTTAAACTTTCTCCTTATGATTTTTTATTACTTATATTTGGGATTCAACATAATAAATAATCTAAGTATAATGTCACACTTTGGATAATATAAAGATTAACTATCAACATTGACTTTAATTAAACTATTAAAGTAAAGTACACACGAATTATAAAAGCATATCAGTAATATAAAACCATTTTAAGTCATATATATATATATATAAATTATCTGCCTATGAAATTACCTCCTGTTCAATATAAATCTTCCAGTATCGCCCTGTTGTAGGAAATGCAGAGATTAATTTCTCATACATCTGCCGCATTTCATTAATGTCTCTGGTTTGTGCCTCACGGATAAGCAATGACCATGAGTCAACATCGTAAGTGTTTGCTTCCACTGCGCGTTGGGCTCGACTCAATCTTTCATTACCCCAGTCCTGTAATTTTAAATGAAATTTTATATTTAGATAAATGAAGACAACAATTGAAGTTTTTACACACCACATTAAAAATTACAATATGGGATGTCGAAAACAAACATTTCTGTAAAGCTTTATGTATATCTTCAATTAATAGTCTGTTGGAGTTTACAGGCCCTTCTTTTCTATTATAGATCTCAGGTTCTAGCAAAAGACCTGATGAGGTTTTAGTAAGTTCAAGCCTAAAGTAAGGAACACTGTGGTTTTAGTAAGTTCAAACCTGATTACCACCTCCACATCTTCCCTTTAAACAAATTTCTCTTACATCTCCACACAACATTTCTATACTATATTAATAATACATAGTGAGATCTTAATTTTTTTTGACATAGGGGTTAAGGTGACTTGTGCCATCCATACGCAAAAGTTTTTATTGAGTAGGCTTTGTTACAGTACATTTTCAATAACACCTTGCAACTCTAGAGCCCCAAGTGCATTGTCACACTACGAGTGCCCTCCCCTCCCCTCAGAATACTGGTTTGGGGTTCAGGCAGCCACCGGTCCGAACCTTATTAATATAGTGAATTAACCTTATTAATTCGGTGAATACTATAAAATTTGCTGTGGGATATTATATAATGTTATGTTATTGATAGTTGCACTATGTAGGCTCTGATAACTAATAAATGATGAGGTTTAAAACCAGAAATACTATGTTACATCAGTAACAGATCAACAGAACACATATCACTGTTACTGTTGTAACTTTAAGTAATATCATAGCGCTGGAATTCAGTGATTTTAAAATCTTTCCTCTTTTTTTAATAACTAATTCTTGTTCATTCTCGTTCTTGTTAAAACCTCATGTTCATAAAGTAGTCCATGATCATAAACAAGCCCTGAATGAGGAACGAAGCCAGAATGCCACTATTGGTAACTAATCACGACAAATACTTAACAATAAACACTTTTTAAAATAAAACATGATAACTCGCTAATGGACACAACTCATTTTAATTAACAAGATAAGCGAATGATCATTATAAAATGCACTATGTTATAGCCTCGCTCCCAATAGAACTAATTAATAAAGCTAAAATTAAAGAGTTGGCGAAAAATACATTTTCATACATGAATTACACTTACAATTTCATTATTATCTTCCAGCGGAGGATTGGTAATATCAGTCATTTTGTTTTATAGGTTATGCCCTTGTTTCAATAATGTCGTACTTATTTATATTGAGGCCGTAATGATTCAATAACAACCGAAAAGTAAAACACACACTGGATTTTACGTCTAATTAATTAAACAAAAAGTAGTGTGTAATATAAACAGGACAACTTCTGTAGGACGCCATCTAGTTTTATATGTTGTTATAGTAGCAGCAGAAACACTTTGTGAAAATTTCGAAAACTGTCTAATGACACAGACTTTAAAATTTTTTTTTAGTATTATTCATACACACAGATAATAAACCAATATTATTAATAATAAAATACCACGTCTTTACTTTGAATTATGCAAAGTAACAAATCACACATGCACCGAAGTTTTAACACAAGCGTAAGTAGGTAGGTACCTACCGTATCATGATTCATTCAGAACCGCATATAACTCCCTATTTCACTCGTCTCAATAACTTTCCGTTACTCTATTTGCTTTATTTATTCATCCAAACACCTTTTTTTTCGTGAGATAAAAGGAAATACTTATACATTAAAAAGACACACATTATGTACCTACCTACTAGTAAGTAAAATTATTTTATAGTCTTACCTTTCAGAGTTTCCAGGTAATTTAAAAAAACTTATGTCTGGATGCGTTATTGACGAATTCATACAACCAAAAACAGCACAATCCACCACTCAATCTGTTGAGCGCTGTTGAGCGTATCAGTAGGGTAGCCAACCTGCAAACTTTTTTTTTCGCACTATATCATACTTGGGCTTTCTCGTACATTTATCTAGGATTTAAAATGTTAAAAAACCATAAATCTTAAGTTAGAAATAAATTATAAATGTGTGTAGGTAACGCTAATATTGTCAAAATGAAAATTGAAGAAATTAAAAAGTTAAAAATCAGTACGTAATTTAATTCAATCTTGTTAATGAGTTCTTAATAATTAAAATTCAACAAGTTTGATAAATTCACGCTCATCATATTAACCTCTTAATTATTAAGGTTAAATGGGAATGTACGTTGGCAGGCACATCAGTCTTTCCTAAATAGATTTTGAAACTTAAGCTGTGGCTAAAGTGTCCACAATAAAATTAATGCTTTGAATTTTCCTATATCAAAATCTTGTACCTACATATTATATAAGCCTGATGGTGTCCTGGAATATCCAACGTATCCATATTTTTTTTACTTATACTGGTTGACACATTAAAGCACTCTTTGCCCTTAAAATTTATAAGTCGAGTGGACACGATGGAATCTCTCCTATCATGGCGAAGACGTATGCGCCAGAGTTAGCACCACACACTAACAACTTCTAATACAGTTTCTTTACTGTCCTACTCCCTAAGCGTCCCACAGTATGCTAAGAGACCTAAAAATCGGACATGCTCGTTTTTTCAATCAAACGTTTAGGGCTAATTTTTACAAATATTATAGAAAAACTCCTGTTCAAACTTAAACATAGTTTTCTAGATATAAAAATTTGAAATTAATTAATTTACTTATTTCAAAGGGGGATTATTTTTATTTATTTAACAAGTAATAGAAATAAACTCAAAAACTCTACGTTGTGTAGAGTTTTTGAGTTTATTCAGAGACCCCTTAGAAATATAAGTAATAAGCGTTTATTATGCTTCATAAATGCTTGTGTTTAATCCGACGCCCACAAACGAGCAGACGGTTTACTTAATGGTAAGTGACTATCGCCACCCATGAACGCCTACAACTCGGTATTAGTCCGAACAATTTCTCGGAACACTCTCCATGATCTATACGAAAGGGAATATAAATCTGAATAGTTAAAGCTATATTTCTACCACGTAATGCCAAGGGATCGAACCGATTGGAGATTATTTGGGCCAAAAGTTTTGGTAATATTCGATTCTAAGGTAATACCTTGGTGGTAATTATTAAGTGGCAGCTAAATTTTAATTGATTTTTACATACATCACAGTGATATTTAACGGAGCTTTTTTTTTCGCAAAAAAACCGTGATTTGATAGAAAATGAACGCGATACGGTGGCGATTTATTTCCTCAGAATTTTACAAAAATTGCTCGCAGTGAAATATCGCTGTGCGGACGGGGCCTAAGAAGACAGAAGCACTATTAGTTTGACATTTCTCTCAGTTTGACATTTGTGTGTTTATTATTGGCGGTAGTTTCCTTTCGTTGCATCGTTAGAATTATCAAAGAAAAATGCTATTTTACTCATTTTTCAAATCGCTAGTGGGTAAGGATGTGGTCGTTGAACTCAAGAACGATCTAAGCATATGTGGCACACTGCATTCCGTGGACCAATACTTGAATATAAAGTTATCTGACATTAGCGTCATAGATCCCGAAAAATATCCACACATGTTGTCAGTTAAAAATTGTTTTATTCGCGGATCTGTCGTTAGATATGTGCAGCTGCCGGCAGACGAAGTGGATACCCAGCTGTTGCAGGATGCAGCAAGGAAGGAGGCAACAGTTTCTACAAGATAATCCTAACCTCTTTTGTAATTTGTTTGGCACTTTGAAGTGCGTGTAAATAATAATAATGTAAGAATAAGTTTCGCATTAAAGTCATAACATAAACTTTTAGATTTCATTTTGTAATTTTCGAATATGAGTAGTTTTGTATGCCTGTAAATTAAATGTAGATCTACAACTAACTTATTGTCCTATTTACATGTGTGTATCTATAAAAAGTACTATGATAGAGATTCTTCTGTCTTTCTATCGCATACAGCTTACCTTGGTTATCAACAATCTGTATTAGAACTGGTTTTTCTGAAACCAAATGCTATATTTTATTACCTAAAAATCTAAATCAAGAAAGAAATTATCTATGGCTATTTTTATTTATAATATTTGTTTTGTGTACATAAAAGTACCAGGTTAAATCTTCAATATGAAAGTAAGGTTGGAAATGAAATTAACCATAAAATCTCACTGGAATAGAAGGATATAAATGCTATCTGTTATGCTAAATGAATATTAATAGAGTAAACCTTACTCCTGTCTTTGTGCAATCAGAATGTTGCTAGGTGGTTAATCTTCTGAAGAAGAAGCATTGCTTTTGTTAAGCCTAGAAGCTTCTACAAAGAGAAGAAAGTATTGGATGCCCTCAGTGAGCACAACACAAGAAGAAAAGGCGAATTGCTTGTAGTCTACATGATTCATCATAATCTATACTAATATTATAAAGCTGAAGAGTTTGTTTGTTTGTTTGAACGCGCTAATCTCAGGAACTACTGGTCCGATTTGAAAATCAGTGTTAGATAGCCCATTTATCGAGGAAGGCTATAGGCTATATATCATCACGCTAAGACCAATAGGAGCAGAGCACCAATGAAGAATGTTTCAGAAACGGAGAAAATTTATTACTATTGAGAGACACAGTCGAAGTTCGCGGGTCAGCTAGTCATATAAGAAACTCTGTATTCCTTCAGATATCTTATCTTCTCTGTCTCGAAAGGAGAAGAACATAAGAATGAGACCACTGCTGTTGGACTGCCTGCTGTGTCCTTTATCATAAGGATGCAGTAGGTACATTGTAAAAAATGTAGGACATGGAACTCGGAAATCCACACTACTCTCTGTCTGCCACTATCATAGACCTGAATGTACTTAGATTGTTAGTCATTGTAATATGCTCTATGCTCACTATTAAAATTATTGATGCAAAAATAGCTATGTGTATCTTTACAAATTAACACAAAATCTGGTAAAAGTAATTTGATGAATTAAAAAAAATGTGTAGAGAACTTTGGAGAAGGATGTTTTTTTTTCTTGGTTGCTTGAATAAAAATTTAAATTAAGTTGTGAGAGGTTGAAAGTTTGTTAGGGAGAAACTATATGTGAACTAAATTGTAAGCACCATATGTTTTTCACCACTTTTTCAGTCTAATCTTATTTCCATCTCAACCCAAAACATCTCAAAATATAATTTTCAAATAATATTTCCTCTATTTGAGACATGCGCATGCTGCAGCAGCGCTGGAAAAATTAGCTGTGCTTGGTGTACACTATGATTGATACTTTGGTGTCAAAATTGGTTTCCCAGTGGCCGACATAAACGGAAACTGATTTTTAGGGTCCGCGATATCTACAAGATTGGATAATTTGTTTTTTGAAGTGTCCCTTTCTAAATAAACATTTTTAAAAGTTCTATAACAAATATCTGCTTGAACCGGAACGTCCTTATAAGTTTTCGTTTTGTTTTGGAATTTCAGCGCCATTTCATTACCTTGTTAGGGAGACCTAATTATACTAAATTAGTAGAAATTCTGAAGTGTTAAGATTTACACAGAGAAGATTTACGCTTGTGTTATTGAGCTCAAATTGAGACACGATGTACAAGCTTCTTCAAAGATTCCTTTTATCTCTTTAACGCTTCAGTTTTCTTCATTTAATTTCTGATCAATGCTACCACAATATGCTACAGTAAGTCGTAGCATGGTACAGCTAGTGAATAATAAAAAGAGAATCCTTTTTGTGGCCACTTTTATTGCTTCAAAATGAGAGTTATTAAAACCTATATTGTACTGAAATTATTAATATCCTTTGGTTGACTCTGCTTCCTCTATTTCGAAAAGTGGCTGTGGATGTGCTATCTCCGACTAATGATTTGCAAAGAGAAGATACATATCAGACTGCTAGATCAATGAGGTAAATGTGACACAATCACTATCAAACAGATCATTGTCCAAACTAAACCACTAAATATACTGGGTAATGCAAAGAGTAATATTGACTTTGTGATTTGCCCAGTGACTCTATTTAATAAGGTTCTTTTGGGCTGAGAAACAAGAAAACTTCATAAAAATCAAATATAGGCCTTCTAGTAAATAAAATACAACTTTTTCTTTTAATATCTTGACTCGAGATACATTGGTCTGGTCAGCAAATGGAGCAAAGCAGAAGATTCAATTTTCATGAACAGGTTTAAAAGAAATAATGACAGGACTCATTGAAATTTACGGTCTTCATCCCCACATTGTAAATGCCGTACTCTTATAACCGAACTTTTGATTAAAACAATAGACCAAGTTTAATTTCTTATCGAATAAACAAACTTTTACTGAGGAATCTCTTTTATTAGTAGAAAAATATTTGTTAAATAGGGCAACACTCAATTCTTCATTTCATTCAACTTTACTAAGCTTTGTCGCCCCTCGCGTTTGGTATTCGCCACTTTGCTCGCTCTGCGTTTTGTAGAAATATCGTTGTTGTAATCAGTTGTATCATCTGTCGAAAAGATAATATAACTTGATTATCGTCGCCGCGAGTGATGCTTTATGCTTGTTTCATTTCAATATTCCAACGCAAATACACTTTATTAGACCAAGTATCATCTAACATGTGATTACAAATGTAAATAATTAATTAATATTATCGCGCAAACGGACAAAATGGACGTGAAAGGTTGTTATCGTGATTGTGATGTGTGATTAGCTTTTATTTTGTTTTCTTAGCGTCTTGTGTTAGTGAGAAAGTGTTTTTTTTGCGGATAGGACTCGTCCTATTCGATCGAGCTTTCTAAGACTCTTAGGTAAGTTGTTATTTACATTATTTACTTTTAAACAGTCTGTTAAAATACTGGTTAAGGTTTTATGTTACATCTGCTTGCAATGTATTTAGTGATTCATGAATAAAAAACAAAAGTTTTGTTTTTTTTCATGTCTGAGTAGCATTCGGGATTGTATACTCGTCAACCAATTACCGTCAATTAACGCGATTCAGTGGCTGCATCTGCATTAACATTGTTTTGTTTTCGAGTTTATTTTTAGAATTTGTGTTTAGTCTGGTGTTCGAATATTTAGTTAAAAGTACTTATTCTAAAAGCTGGTTGGCTTTCATGTGTTTAAAAAAAATAAGCAGCATATACCCAAAATAATTGTCTTTTAAATGTTAAAATGCAATTTTTTTTCTGTGCTTATTTACTTGTTTTCCAGAAAAAAATATGTTAGCTGTGCTTAAGAAATAATAAGAATGTCTAATGAGAAAACCTTGTCTATCATAGAAAACAAAGTTCTGCTTTTATAGCATAATTATATTTATATATTGCGTAATGTATATATTTGATTAATTAAACACTCAAGAGAAGATAAAATAAATATCATGAATGGGTTTTATCTCTTATCTTGATAAGGACATTTAATATATTACTATACTTAATCATTCATGTTATGGTGTCATCAAACATTCTCACAGCATTTAGTCAATAAACCTTGTCTAATATAATGTGCCCAGTGTTCTAAATTTAAGTTGTGAGGTGTTTTTTAAAATAATTCATGCTAGAAGACAATCATGCATGTACTTGTAGACATAACATACACTACTACACAACAGGCCTGTTAATAAATTCTATTTATGGCCTATATTGTTGTATTTATTGTCCATGCTGTTTCAAACTTCACATCATTTGCAGAACTCATCAAACTATTACAATTCTAATCATAAGCATCTTAGTTTTATATGTTTTCGAATGACCATGGTGTTCATTTCTCTAGTCATAGTTATAACTTAATGTAACACCAATAATAATGATATTAATGGCCTTATAAAAGATCATATCTTTCTATAACTAATTTAGTGAAAGTTGGTAATATGTTGACCTCAATATCAGATTGAATTTAGAAAGATACAATTGTATAACTTTCAAATATATGACACTTTCAGATTCTTCTCAATGAAGTTTAATATTACAATAGATATTTGAGCCTTTCTTGAAAATGAAAAAAAAAACATTGCTTAATTTCTTTGTCACCACTAGCTAAAAAAACATTGACAGACTTAGTATTGTTAGTTTATGGTTACTCTACAAAAATACTGACTACTATTGCAGTTTTGCCAAAAAGTTTGGTGTGCTATTGATACAACCCTTAGTTGCCTAAAACTAATTAGAGAAATTGAAATGCTCTCAACTCAGCATCAACTCAATTTTAAAATATACCATTCCATGATATATAAATATCATCATCATCATCATCAATAAATATGTACTTACATAATTATACTCAGCAAATATGTACATAATTATGTTGGTGTGGTATCAGATTTAGATCATCACATCAACAGCCCTTAATGATCCACAGCTGAACAGAGGCCTCTCCTTAGAAAAGAGGTTTTGGCCTACGATACCATGCTGGCCATACAGGTTGGTATAGGGTTTGTATCAAATTTTCCTTCTCTTTGCAGTGCTGTTGTCCTGCATAGCTTGCTCCTTTAGTCAGTTCTTACAACATCTGCAGGATGAATAGGGGTGGTGACACTCCATATTATCATACTATCATCACACATACACATTGTAACCAGTCAATGAATTATATGAACCCATTTTTTAATATACACCTCCTGTCTGATGATAAACCAAATTAGCTTCAAGATACCGTTTTATAGTATTGACCCATCATCTTCTATTATGTTTGATCATTTTTGCCATGGGAGAGCTATGCTATGGCCCAAATGGGCTGGCTCAGCCATAGTGATACTATAAT